AATTTAATAAAATGATTGAAAATATAGTGAGTTTAATTGAGTATAAATTAGTATTTTTAGAACCGATAACCCGATTAGTATCCGAAACCGAAACTATTTCGGGTTCAACCGGATCTTGGACATGTTACTAAACCCGAACCGAACCCGACTAAACCCGAACCGAATCCGACCCGAATTTTTATAATATCCGAATGGGGCTAAAATTCATGAACCCGAAAACCCGAAACCCGAATGAACCCGAACCGAAACCCGATTGGGACCCCGATTGCCCAGCCCTAGTTTTCGGCTATTTTTAATGTAACTAGAGATTTTGCCCGGGCTATGCCCGAGATTAGAAAACTATAGATATATTTAATATAATAATGCATATATATTGCATCACTTGCTATAAAATCTATATCATAGATTAAATTAGAAATGAATAAACTGACAATTTATTATTTTTACTATATAAAAATATATATAGAACGATCAGCAAATGTGAAATAAATAAAGTATAGTTAAATCTAAGCTATGATCCAAATATTTTGATTTAATATATTGAATTATCATGAAAACAAATAATTAATTATAGGTAAAGTTCATATGGTTGCGATAAAAATGAACCATGTATTATATGTGTAAAATGTGAGAACATACTACATCACTATTCTAACATAATATATATTCAAAAATTTATATTTTCTTGTTTGAAATCAATGAGCTTGCACTATTCATTAACAATGAAGATCTAAGTTGCGGTATTAGAAACACTACAAGAAAACTAAGAAGTTACTAGGAAATTTTACTAAGAAAATAATTCCTCGTAAATTTACTACGAACTTACTTCGATTTTACGAGGAAACAAGTTTTCCTCGTAAGGTCCTCGTACAGGTACGAGAAAAATATTTCCTCGTAACACCATAGTAAGCTTACGAGGAAATTACGAGGCAAAAGTACCTTTCCTCGTAAGCCCGTAGTAAGTAAATTTCCTCGTAAAGTCCTAGTAAAGTTTTACTACGAAATTAAGAGGAACAGATTTGTTACTACGAAATTAGGAGGAACTAGATAGGAAATATCGAATTTAAATCAAAAACATGTTTTGTACCTACATTTCCTAGCAATTTCCTAGTAAATGCTCATATTCGAAAATTTCTATAAATACCACAATTGTGATTCATTTGAAACACACCAAAAAATAATTAGCTATAAGCTTGATCAAACACAAAAAAAATGTCCGGTCCGGGAAATATTTTCGAGTTGCGGAAGTGGATGTATTCACACGGAGATAATAACGGGAGGGTGACGAAAGAATTTCTCGAAGGGTTGGAGACGTTTATGCATCACGCAGATTTTACACCACTCACGCAGGAAAGTGGTAAGATGTTCTGTCCTTGTCGGAAATGCTGCAATACAAAATTAGGCCATCGTAAAAATGTTTGGAAACATTTAATAAATAGAGGTTTCATGCCATATTATTATATTTGGTATCAACATGGAGAAGACGATGCTAGTTGTAGGAATGAGGGTAGCAGTAGTAATAGCAATTTTCAGATTGAACCGGTTGATCATTTGCGTAATGAAAATAGCTATCATCACCAAGAGGAACAAATAGTAGATTGTGATAGGGGTCATGATATGGTAGGTGATGCATTTGTAACTCATGATGATGATGAAGTTGAAGAACCTAACTTAGATGCAAAAAAGTTTTATGAAATGTTAGATGCTGCGAATGAGCCAATTTACTAGAGAAGGTCTGTCTAAATTGTCGTTGGCTACTAGAATGATGAGTATTAAAACCGATCACAATCTACCTAAAAATTGTATGGATGCATGGGCAGGCTTGTTTAAAGAGTATTTGCCAGAAGACAATATGTCTGCTGAATCTTATTATCAGATTCAGAAATTGGTATATAGTCTTGGGTTGCCGTCGGAGATGATAGGCGTTTGCATCGACAACTACATGATTTACTGGGGAGATGATGAGAAGTTAAAAGAATGTCGATTTTGTAAGAAGCCACGATTCAAACCGTAAGGTTGAGGGCGTAATAGGGTACCGTACCAAAGGATGTGGTACCTACCAATCACAGACAGATTGAAAAGATTGTACCAATCTGAGGAGACTGCTGGAGGGATGAGATGGCACGCCGAGCATACTCAGACGGATGGAGAGATGACTCATCCATCAGATGCAAGAGTCTGGAAACCTTTTAACAATGTACATCCACATTTCGCTAGCAATAGCCGGAATGTGTATCTTGGATTATGCACTGATGGATTTAGTCCATTTGGAATGTCTGTGAGACAATATCCATTGTGGCCGGTCTTTCTTACACCGTATAACCTGCCATCGGAGATGTGCATGCGGCGAGAGTTTCTATTTATGACCATATTAATACCT